ATCCTTCCATATTTCGACACACTGAGCAGTGTCAAACAAGTATATTCATCCAATCTTTGTGAAATTCAAAATTTGTAATCAACATTTTTTGTACAAATAATAAAAAATTTATTATCAATTTTTCACATTTCATATATATTTTTAAAAAAATCGGACAAGTGCGAGTTACACTCGCACTGAAATCGAGGGTTTCATACATGAAACGAACTTATTTGGTATAAAAACAAATGTTTAATAAATATATGTTTTGTATGTCAAATAATAAAAAATTTAAGAAAATTGTTCCTCTTCGTATCACTTACATTATTTGATATACAAAGCTTATATTTATTAAACATTTGTTTTTATACCAAACAAGTTCGTTTCATGTACGGAACCCTCGATTTCAGTGCAAGTGTAACTCGCACTTGTCCGATTTTATTTTCAATTAAAAAAACATTTTTTTAAAACGTGAAGAAAATCGAATTAAAAAATAAAGAATAGGAGAAAGAAAAAATTAAATAGAACAGAGAAATGAATAAAAAACTAATAGGAAAAGTCCACTTTTTTCCAAAAATTTTCTTTTTCGAAAAAAACTTAATTAAAACAACTTTTTTTCATGTTTGTTAAATTATTTCTATAATCTACAAATAAACATACGTAAAAATGAATAAATAGGAAGCCCTTTTGATAAAATTTTCTTCGTTATTGGGAGAAAATTCATAATTTTTTCTAAAATTATCAGTTTTTTCTTGACAGCACCAGGAAAATCAACTCCAATCGTCTTGCTATATTTTTTTGTAATCTACACGTAAAAATATGTAAAAATGTATAAATTTGAATCATTTTAGAAAAAAAAAATTTTTGTTTTTGGTGGAAAAATACATTTTTTCCCTAAAATTATCATTTTTCTTTAAAAATTTGATAAAAATTGATCATTATCTCCAATTGTGCTCACATTTTTTCCCCTGTAATTTTCACGCAAAAATACATTTATACAACAAAAATAAACAGTCTGGGTTGAATATTGTGTGCGCTAAGGAGTTTAAACCATTTTTCTCAAAAATTTTGATACTTTCTCCTTGACAACGCTATGTAAATCGATCCGAATCAAGTTCGCTATATTTTTCCTGTATTTTTCACGTAAAAATACGTAAGTGTACCAAATTTGAGCTCTTTATGTCAAAAGATGTGGCTGCTAGGTTGGAGGGGGGGTGATACATAGTCATTTTTAGTCATTTTTCGTAAAAATTCATGGTTTTACCTTCACAACGCTATGATAATAATCAATTCCAATCAGGTTAATCAGGTCTAATCCAGATAAATTCGTGGTGCCGCGAGGGGGGGGGGGGTACACGATTTCAAAAAAAAGATATTAATAGGGTTCCGAACCAAGTACGGAACCCTAAAAAACATCAACAGCGCTACGAAGATTTCACTACGTAGCGATTTGACGCTAAATTCACTTAAACAAATTTTTAGTTACTGGGTGACTCAAAAAAATTGTATAAGTTTCACAGATTTAGTTTTTTTTTAGTCTTGAAGAAACTGTCAACGCTATTTTATTTATTATATTTTATTCCTACTACTGTAACGATTACTATTTCATTTAAAGTTACGATAATTTTTTAAAAATATATATTATCTCATTAATTAGCGACAAATCAACACGATAATTGGACCAAGCCAGTTCAATGAAGCCAAAGTTTTTTCATAATCATTTTTGCAGTAATAATGATAGATCCTAAAAGTCTCAAAGGATCTAATAATTCCGCAATTTCGAAAACCACAATTCTCTTAGTGATTTGTTTATCATAGAATTAATGTGCCATATGTGATAGTATTAAGAAGAGGGACTGCTGTAATTTCAACCTATCTAAATTGCGGCTGTTTAAGGTTGCCAATTATTTTCTGACTATATTGAGTATTTAAAACTGTAATATACTATGGGAAAATGAAAAACAATTAATTTATTAATAATTTTTTAAATAAAACTCGAAATCTTCAAAAACTAAAAATTTTAACTTCTGTGGCAATTTTTATTATTTTTCATTACTGATTTTTATACACTTTTTTATGATTCTAAACAATTAACCGTATAGATTTTAAAAAAATTTAATTTTTTAAAAATAAAAAAAATGGTAAAATTGTTAAAAAATGCTTTTTTTATTTTTTATAGTGACATATGATTTTAGATTATAAAAAATTTGTTAAAAAAATTGTTATCTTTAAACCAAACCAATTATTTTTGATTTAAATTTTATCAATTATTCCTTAAAAATTCAACTTCTTCTACAATTTTTATTATTTTTTATAGGTAATTTTTTTGTAGGCTTTTTACATGATTTTGAGCAATAAAAATTAGAATATTTTCTGAAAATAAAATTTCTAAAATGGTCAAATTTTTTTTTTAATTTTGATAATTCACAAAAATTTTAAATTACAAATGTAATGCCAGAAAAAATGAACACCTCTTAACAACATTAATTTTGATGAGTTGTATATGTTTATCATAAAGTTCATTTTCTCAATGTCTGCCGTGAAGACATGTGTGAACGAAAACGAAGAAGAAGCGCGAAAAGACTATCTAGCATTGCCGTACTATCACACTGATAAAAATTCATTTGGATCAAATAAAAAGTATTTGAATAAATAATTATTTTAATCAATTATGAAAATTATTTCATTCAATACTGCATGTTTTTTGATTCAAATAAATATTTATTTGCATTAATAAAATATTTTTCTTGAAACAACTAAAAATTTTCTTGAATCAAAGTAGTATAACAAGGTATGTTCTACGCCACTTACCGTCAGTCGATAATGCAGATTGCTGCATTGCCGACGGAGGGTTTGAGCCTCGGTCGATAAGTTGTCAGCGGCCGGCATGGCAGAATTCTATAGTGACTTTTTACCATCGGTCGGTAATGCAGATTTGTATATTCACTTTTTATCAACGGTCGGTATTACAGATTTCTATAGTGACTTTTTACCATCGGTCGGTATTACAGATTTCTATAGTGACTTTTTACCGTCAGTCGGTATTGCAGATTCCTGACACGTAATCAGCACTCAATCAATAAGGAAGGTACCTGTTTTACCGACATAGTGCATGGTTGATGAGGCATCAGATAAGTAGTAGGGGGTAGGTAGAGTGGGGTATAGTGTATCCTTGAGTACATGTGCACTGAGAAGTCCTTGTGAACTTTCAAGACTTAGTGTACCCTGAAGACCTAGTGAACTGTTAAGTCCTAGTGTACCTTTAAAACCTAGTGAACTGTAAAATCCTAGTGAACTATAAAGTCCTAGTGTGTACCAAAAAAAAACTTAGTGAACCCCAGAGATTTAGTTAACTGTAGTTTAGTCTTGTGCAAAATGATTCTTAAAGAGTGTAAGAACCTTTTACCTGATATTGAGGTTGCGCTAAACTTGATGATGACATCAGGTTACGCCTCCTTAGATGAAGTTAACAAATGGATGAGTTTATGCTCCAGGTGTTTGAGGACTGTTCGTAAGGAACTATACCGGAAACTTCCGCTAAATAGTGGACAAAAACGTCAATGTTTAAATATTATTGGCAATTTAACATATCTAAAGCTTCAATTTGAGCAGTTTTTAAAACAAGGAAGTGGTTTACTAATAAAGAAAAGGAAGCTTGCAAATACAGAACAAGACATTCATCAAAGAGTGCAATGGGTTGATTTAGACAATGCGTTTAAAAAACGAGTAAGAACATGTGTCATCGTTAACTTGAAACATAAAGATGTGAGGGCTTTTTTCATAGATGTCGCTGTACTTCTTACGGAGCATATTGGAAGGCTTTTGCATGAACATAAAGCTCTTAAAGTTAACACTATGCTTACAGCCAAATTTTGTAAACCTGTTGATAAAAATAATTCAGAAAATCAATGTGAAGAGTTTTCTTTCAAGTCCAAAAATCATGAAATTTTTGCATCTTCAGACCTTAACTCTTGGATTGATGTTAACGTCAAGTCACCAATCATTAAGGAAATAGAAGAATTTGAGGAAAAAGACTCGGGATGGACACTACACTCCATAGTAAAATTAGATGTAAATTTTAATAAACTTAATCCATTGAAAGGTAGTTCCTATATCATGCTACCGAAATCGATTAAAGACAAAAAAGCATGTATCAATGTAATAAACGAGGACAATGAGTGCTTTAAGTGGGCTGTATTGTCTGCACTGCATCCTATAGAATATTACAATCATGCAGAACGTGTTTCAAACTATAAACCTTATAAAGACTCTCTCAATTTTGATGATATCCCTTTTCCCGTTGGATTGCATCACATTAAGAAATTTGAACAGCAACATGATATCTCTATAAATGTTTATGGTCTTAGCAAAAGAAAACAAAAGTTATCTGTAATTCCTCTTCACTTGACTGACTGTAACAAGAATCAACACATCAATTTGTTGCGAGTTGAAGAACACTATTATGAGGAAGACAGTAGTGATGAGGAGGAGGAGAAAGATGTAGTGGATCATGAAAGATGTTTTGTGATTCTAAACTTTCATTATGTGTGGATTAAGAACCTTTCACGATTAATAGGTAGTCAACTATCTAAACATACGAAAAAGAAGCTAATTTGCGATCGCTGCTTGCACTACTTTTCACACGAGGATAAGTTAACAACTCATATTGAAGATTGTGTAAAATTAAATCATTGCAAAGTTGTGCTCCCACAGCCAGGAAAGAACTTTATTGAATTTAAAAATTTTTAAAATCGTGAGAAAGTGCCATTTGTAATTTACGCAGACTGTGAATCTCTTTTAAAACCGGTTCTAGAAGACCACAATTCCAAACAATCTACCACTAAAGTTATTCAGCAGCATCAAGTAATCGACATTGGTTACTACTTGAAATGTAGTTTTAATGACTCAATGTCGGTTTATAAATCGTGTCCAGATGTGGATGTGAATCCAGCAGAATGGTTTGCCCTGGAGTTGCAGCAAATAGCGTTACAATTTGAACAAATTTTGTCACTCCAGTAGCTATGTATCCACTAACAGCTAAAGAAAAAGAAGACTTTGTTTGTGCAGTGATGTGTCATATTTGTAAAAAACCAATACGTCCACAGTTTAAGAAGGTTCGCGATCACTGCCACTTAACTGGAAAATATCGTGGGGCTGCACACGAATACTGCAATCTCATCTACCAAGACTGTAGTGTTATTCCCGTTGTATTTCACAACTTGAGTGGATACGATGCTCACTTCATCATTAGGGATGTAGCTACACAATTCAATGGAAAAGTTAAAGTTCTTGCTCTCAATAAAGAAAAGTATATTTCTTTCACAAAATATGTGGAAAATACGCGGATCAAATTTCGATTTATAGACTCATTCAGGTTTCTTGCTTCATCTCTCGAGAAGTTAGCATCATATCTCACCGAATACAAGTGTATCAATGCTGAGTTTTTCGATATAGAGAGGGAAAAAATTGAGTTGTTAACGCGAAAAGGTGTTTTTCCTTATGAATATCTAGATAAAAAAGAAAGACTTAGTGAAACGCAACTACCAGCGAAAAAACATTTTTATAGCACGCTAAACGATTCCACAATTTCTGATGATGACTATAGACATGCACAGAATGTATGGTCTGCATTTGAGTGTCAAACTTTAGGTGACTACGTCAAATTGTACCTCAAAACTGATGTTTTACTTCTCGCCGATGTTTTCGAGGGTTTTCGTGAGCAGTGTTGTAGTGTGTATGATCTAGACCCTGCGAATTATTACACAACACCGGGCCTAACATGGGACGCTATGCTTAAGTACACAAATATACGATTAGAACTCTTCACTGACGTTGACATGCTGTTGATGATTGAGCAAGGCAAACGAGGCGGTGTGAGTCAATGCTCTAACCGTTACTCGGCTGCCAACAACAAGTACATGACAGCTTACAACGAAAGTGAGGAGAGTGTGTACATTGTGTACTTGGATGAAAACAATTTGTATGGGTGGGCAATGGGACAACCGCTTCCTCATGGAGAATTTGAGTGGGTGTCCAATGTCGACGATAGCTTTGATTTTAATATTCCGGATGATGCACCATTCGGTTACATCTTAGAAGTCGACTTGGATTACCCGCAAGAGCTCCATGATGAACATAACGATTTACCGTTTTGTCCAGAACATGCGAGTCCACTAGGTTCAAATCAAGCAAAGCTCCTTACAACCCTCTCACCGAAACAAAAATATGTTCTTCATTATCGCACTCTAAAACAAGCTCTAGCAAATGGATTAGTATTGCGTCGAATATACCGTGTTATTAAATTTTCACAATCAACGTGGCTTAAAAGTTATATCGACTATAATACTAATCTTAGAGCAAATGCAAAGAACGATTTTGAAAAAAATTTATTTAAATTAATGAATAATGCCGTTTATGGAAAAACAATGGAAAATGTTCGAAAATATGTAAATGTTAAACTTGTGACAAAGTGGGAGGGAAGGTATGGAGCTGAAGCTTTAATAGCGAAACCAAATTTTCATAGTCGAGCGATTTTCAGTGAAAACCTTGTCGCTATTGAATTGCGTAGATTGGAAGTTCTGTTCAACAAACCCATCTATATCGGCCTCACTGTACTTGATGTGTCAAAGATATTAATGTATGAATTTCACTACGACTACGTGCGTAAAAAGTATGGTGACAAGTGTAAGTTATTATACACGGATACAGACAGTTTCATATATGAATTAAAATGTGTAGATGTATATGAAGATATGAAGAATGATATTCAGAAATTTGACACTTCCGATTACCCAGTAAACAATGTGTATGGAATGCCGCAGGCCAACAAAAAAGTATTAGGTCTTATGAAAGATGAATGTAGTGGAAAAATCATAACCGAGTTTGTTGGTCTGCGGAGTAAAATGTATAGTATACGCATAAACGGTGTGGACGGAGTTAAAAAAGCAAAAGGTGTAAAATCTAACATTGTAAAGAAAACTATTACTTTTGATGATTATAAAGAGTGCCTTCGAGAAAATATAAAGCAAACGCGAACTCAACATCTTATTCGGTCGCGATTACATAATGTAGAAACGATTCGTCAAACAAAACTAGCACTTAGTTCTTATGACGATAAGCGATTCTTACTGTCAAATAGTACTGATACCCTTGCGTTGGGACATTTTAGAATTAGAGAAGTCGAGGAAAATGATATGGAAGAATGAGAGAGAGATTTTTTAAATAATTTTTATGTAAAGTAAATAAAACACATAAAATGTAAATACTTTATATAACATCTTTTTATTTAATAAACCTTATACTTATTACAATGATAGAAATACTATACTTAGTACAATCACAGTAAATGTAGATATATTTAACGTTGATTCAACATTGATTTAACGTTGAATCAACATTGATTTAACGTTGATTCAACATTGATTCAACGTTAATTCAATGTTGCTTATAGATCTGTATTTGCTATCCAACTATTGTGCGTATGGTCAAAGCCTAGCCATTTAACAAAAAGTTTATTGCCACGTCTCTTTAAAACTTTTTCTACTAAATAAATATCGGGTTGTTTAACTTTAAGTAATTCAAATTCATAAAAGCCGCCAGCGATGGGTTGATCCTGATAATCCTTTAGCTTGTAAGTGATTGGAGTTGTGTGCATAACACGATCGACAGTAAATATCTCAGTTGTCCAGTTGGGAGTGTATCCTTTCTCGAAGATGTGCTTAAACTTGCTGACACGGACTTTGTCACCAACATTTAACTTTGGATGCTTGATGGGTATTTTTCGTAGTGCAATAAAACGCCACTTGAGGTCCTCTACATCAGCAGCAGTGACGTCTTTCGGTTTCATACCAATCGTTCGATGTTTTGTGTCGTTGTATTGCGAGACAAGTTGCGGTAAAATGTCTATCCACTTGTAAGTGCCTCTTAAATTAAATTGTGGCCACATCTTATTTTTAAGTGTACGATTAAAACGTTCAACGATAGATGCTTTTAGATTACTATGTGTTGAATACAAGTGAATGCCATAATGTGACATTAGACTTTTAAAAGTTGTATTGTAAAACTCTTTTCCTTGATCAGTGTGTAAATTTTTTGGTATACGTCCTTGTACAAGTATGGATTTCATTGCTGCAGTAACGTCGTTTGCATTTTTACTTTTGACAGGAACAGCCCAAGCATACTTTGAAAAATTGTCGATAACTGTGAGCAAGTACTTGTAGCCTTTGTTTTTTTTTTGCATAGGGTATCATTTCTACTAAATCTGCCTGCCAAGTTTCATCGATACTACGCATGTGTACACGACGTCGTGGATAGTTTCTTCTAGCTGGTTTATGAAGTTCAGTCACTACTGTTAACTTTTTGTCGTTCATTTTCCAAAGCGCTTAAGCGAGTATCTAATTCTTTAAGAATTTCAGCGTTTCGATATGATAAATTTTGATTTATTTCTCGTTCCAGCTTAATGAGTCTTTCATTTAATGAGTCTTCGTAAATTTTTAGCAACAGGTCAATGTTATCAATCTCTTTCCTCTGTGAAGATGTGACTTGATACAGCAGACGTACTTCGCTATCTATCATATGCCGTGCAAGTTGCAATGTTACTGCGTCATCTGCCGCTACAGCCGCAGCAACGTTGCAAATTCTTTTACCTTCTATGTCGTAGTTACCATCAGCGTTGAATTTAAATCCTATTCCAGGTGGTCCACGACTTGATGTCCCAGATGATTTCTCCAGATGACGTCCAAACACGTCAAGACTCATTTTTCAACTGACCAGTGATGACAATATTCACGTCTAATATATAATTTTTGCTTCACGCAGTTCTTCAATGATGGAGATGATCTCATTGTTGTGACTAGGATTTCCAGCTGCCTGAGATGCAACTAGTAGACGAAGTCGATCCACCAGTTCATTCGGATCATCCCAGTAGACGTAATCAGTGTTGATATTTTTGCTATTTGTCATGAATTTAGGTAATGCTCCACCACTTTTTGAGGACCGCCTGTTAGATGATGATGATGATGATGATGATGATGGTACCAATTTGGCAATAAAATTTTTATACTTTAGTGTTTTGCTAGTACGAGTCGGACCACTTGGGCTGTAGTGCTTTTTGTGTGCATTTGTGTCAATCAAAATTTCTTTATACGTCTTAAGATCAGAATCACTTATCAATGACTCATCAGGAGTTTGTCGAAAAAGCAATTCCATCAGACCAACAGTTTTAAAGTAACGTTTACCACCAACGTCAATGTACTGTCCCTCAAAATGAATAGGTGAGTTACCTATCATCAGAGTACCATTATCGAGTTTACGCACTCCATAAATCATATCTAAATATTGTTTGCGGTTTTGTTGCAATAACCTTAGAAATTTATTTGTTAAGTAGTCATAAGTTTCAGGAGTGGTTGGTGTTGTTGTTGTTGCATTATAATCATCAATTAGAGTTTGATCATCATCATCTTCATTTACAGCGGTAGTAAAGGAAGTATTTTCATTCTCTTCTTTTTTAACTTCTTGTTTCATTGGTTCTACTTTAATTCCCGTTGTTGAACGTGACATGTCAACAAGTTTTTGAAGAGGCATAATTATCGGCTTGAATGTTGTATTCAACGTATGTTCAGCAGCTTCTTTGCCCAGCTTGAGCGATCGATGCTTACGTCGAATTGCTTCGCTAGCTTTAGCAATTTGATGAAGAACATTTTTTTCCTTGTGAAACGTTGACATTGTGCTGTGACAGTCAGTATTAACACAATAAAGGTCACGTCACTCGTATTTAAAGAATGATAAAGCAGTCGAAACCTTTTCTGTATCTACCCTCATTAATATCACTGTCTTTATCAATGACAAGGAATCCATGTTTTTCAAGATTCCAGCAAGCTGCACAAAGATCACGAAATTGTGTGTATGACATATCAGTATTTACATGATCATAATACACATGTTTCAGGTTTTTCTCATCTTGACGAAAGAGTACCAGTAGATTAACATTATCACGAACTAGATGCTTAGGAATACGTGCATATGATTGACATAAATAGAAACTATCCACATGACCATGTCTACCCATGCAGAAAAAAGCTCTGATGTTGTCTTGTTTTTCACAAGCAACATCGTCAAAAACAATAATTGAATTTGATTGAGCTTCACTCGGTAATATTACTTCCTCATGTTCACTGTATGGAAAGTACTGTACACCCTTTACAGCTTTTAATACTCGCTCTAAAAATTTATATTTTGGTTGTTTTAGAGATTTTGAGTAAATGTATACGTTATCGAAACGTAAGCCATTTGGGTGTAATATAAGAGCAAGTAGTGCATTTGTTTTGCCACAATTTGATGGTCCACAAAAGACTACACGAATACTGTCAGGAAGTAGACTGCTGTGTCGTTTTCTCTTGACAGACTGTTGCTGAATAAGATTGTCAAAGTTGACAACTGGAAGTTTAACCGGTTGTGTTGTGAACCGCATCTTTAAAGTTACTGTCTAAAACGGTATAAATACAACACTTTTATAGGATTTTCATCAGTTGTATGTGTACCAAGGTGCAGTGAGGAATGATTGTACATTGCAGAAAACGAAAATCTCCTAAGCATCGTGGTAAACGTCGTCATTGTGGTAAAGGTCTCCTCAATAAGGTTATAAATCGTTTACCGTTTGAATTACACTTACCTGGATATCAGTACTGTGGTCCAGGAACAAAACTCGCTAAACGTCTTGCGCGCGGTGATCCTGGTATAAATCCACTGGACGCAGCGTGTAAGGAACACGACATTGCCTACTCACAAAATCGAGAAGACGTGGCAGCAAGAAATTCTGCTGATAAAGTATTAGCTGATAAGGCGTTACAACGTGTTTTTGCTAAAGACTCTAAATTTAGTGAAAAAGCAGCAGCTTTGGCAATAGAAAACATAATGAGAGCTAAATCTAAACTTGGAATGGGTCTAAAGATGAGGAAGGGAAGGAAGAATAAAATAAAACGCCGAACCCAAAGAAAACGCAAGAACAATAAAGTGAAATTTAGAAAAGTTGTTGCTGCAGCTAAGAAAACGATGATACCAAGAGGTGATGCAACTATGACAATTCTGTCTGCACTGAGGGGAGCGCAAGATGTTATTAAATCAGCTGGTGGAAAAAAGAATGTTCATCAACCACGCATTATACCATTACCTTCAAAAGTTGGTGGTTTTCTTCCTCTGATACCCGTCTTTGCTGGACTTAGTGCACTTGGAGCTCTTTCCGGTGGAGCAGCTGGTATAGCAAAGGCTGTAAATGATGCGAATGCAGCTAATCAACAACTTCAAGAGGAAAAGCGACATAATCAAACAATAGAAGCTATAGCCTTAGGAAAAGTTCTACACCTAAAACCATACAAAAAAGGTTTGGGTTTGCACATGAAACCTTATCCTCGTGGAAAGGGACTACATGTAAAACGAGTGAATAAAAAAAAACCTTGTAAAACTGCCACATCGTGCACTTACAGACGCTGATTTACACAAATATGCTAAAGCAGTAAAAATACCTCATTTTCGTGGTGTTTTTATGCGTAATCAACTACCCATATCAGGACCACTTTATAGCGAAACAGCTATTGTAAATCTTGATGACAAGAACGGTCCTGGAACACATTGGGTTGCATACAAAAAATTAGGCAACACTGTCTTATACTTTGATAGTTTTGGCAATCTTCGACCACCTACGGATCTGGTAGACTATCTTGGTTTTGATAGTAGAATACAGTACAACCACGAAAGATATCAAAAATATGACAGTATTGTATGTGGACATTTATGTTTGAAATTCTTGTGTAAGCAACTCGATAAAAAAGATAATTACAATCTATATAAGTGAGTGTCATAAAAAGTTGAGAGTCAGTAGAGAGTGTAAATTCATCATGGATGAATCGTTTACTCTTACGCTTACTGGCAATACTTCCATACTGGAGGCTATTTACTTTCCTCCAATTGAACTCTCTCCTTCCAAAAGTTATGCACTTGGTCTCGTGGAATTGCTCACATTTAATGCAATACCTAACATTGAAGAAGGGAAGAACAATAAAATCTATGTTGGAGATACGATTGTGGATATACCTACTGGTAGCTATGAAATTGAAGATATGAATAACTATGTGCAGAAGGTAGCAGCACGTGACAATATTTTTATTCAGATTAAACCAAACAACAATACTCTACGCAGTGAAATAAAGTGCAATCGAGACATAGATTTTCAACCTGTAGATTCAGCTGGACGTCTTTTAGGATTTACACCGCGCATTTTGCAGGCAAACATGACTCATACATCGGATTTACCTGTTGCTATTCTCAAGGTGAATGCCTTGAGAGTAGAATGTAATATTACAACAGGTGCCTACATCAATGGAAGAATAAGTCATACAATCCACGAGTTTTTTCCAACTGTTCCTCCAGGATATAAGATTGTGGAATTACCAACACATGTCATTTATCTTCCGCTTGCTGTGAAGACAATACACAGTATACAGCTGCGCATAATTGATCAAGACGGAGATTTGGTCAATTTTCGAGGAGAAATTATAACTGTACGTCTTTATGTAAAAACATTGTAATGGGTATTGTATACAATAGTAAAATAGAAAAAGAAGGAGGAGGAGGAGCAAGAAACCTTTTAAATTACCCAACATGTCAGAAAAGCATCAGTCTGCAACCAGTACACAAAGTGCTAACACCACAGAACAAGATTTTCTTAAAACAATTAGGACTCAAAATCATACCTCGTGGAAAAAAAGATTTAAACGTCCTTTCCAAAATACTGATTTTCTCTATATGTTGCAACAATGGAAAACGTTTTAAACATTCACGCAGGAGTACAGTTTGATGAGTCTGTTTCACATTACGAGATTCACGCTCATCAACCATACGCATCCTCCTCATCTTACAACAACAGCGATGAAATAAGAATTGTCATTCAACATCAAGATTTGTGTATTCTACCCAGCAAAAGTACTTTACACATATCTGGACGTTTAACAAAAGCTGATGGAGTTACGGCAACAGCAGCAACATCTCTAGTTACCAACGCCATCTGTTTTCTATTTGATGATATTCGCTATGAGCTCAATGCTATAGAGATTGATCATTGTAAAAATGTTGGTCTCACAAGCACGATGAAGGGATATGTATCACTTACGTTGGGACAACGTAATATCATAGAGAATGCAGGCTGGATCGATACAACACTTGCAAATAATGATGGATATTTTGATGTCACAATACCGCTAAGTTTGATCTTAGGATTTGCTGAAGATTATCGAAAAGTCATTGTAAACGCAAAACATGAACTCATCATGACGCGTGCACGTAGTGACATCAATGCAATTATTCAAGGACAAGACGTTGAACAATTTAAGATAACACTTTACAAGATTGAGTGGATGATGCCATATATAATGGCTGCTGATCGTCATAAAATACGTTTACTTCAATCAATTGAGAAAGATTCATTCATTACAATGAGTTTTAGAGCCTGGGATTTGTATGAATATCCTTTACTTCCCACCACCTCAAAACATGTATGGACAGTGAAAACGTCAACGCAACTTGAAAAACCGCGTTATGTCTTGCTGAGTTTTCAAACTAGTAGAAAGGATAAACTAAAGCGGTATGCTAATCGCTTTGACCACTGTGACATTACAAATGTCAAATTATTTTTAAATTCTCAATACTATCCCTATGGAAATTTAAATTTGGATATTGAACACAATCAATTTGCATTGTTGTACGAGATGTATGCAAACTTCCAACGCATTTACTATGATAAAGAGCCAGAACCTTTGTTAAAGAAAATTGATTTCAAGGATGCTGTTCCATTAATAGTTATCGATTGTTCAAAGCAAAATGAATTTCTTAAGCAAGCTTCAGTAGATGTGCGTTTGGAGTTTGAGTCAAGAAACAATTTTCCTGCTGAAACTGCAGCCTACTGTCTAATTATACACGATCGTATTATCCAATACAAACCAATCAGTGGAGAAGTTAAAAAACTTGTTTAAACCTGAAAAAGGAGGTAGTGGTGGGGGTAAATATTGGTTATGGTGGGGGAAGAAGGTATAAAAGCAGAGACATACACACCAAACATTCAGTATACTATCAACATGGAGTTCATTGTTGATGTTCAAGGCTTCAAAAAGCCATTCAACGAATTTGTTTTTAAAGAATTGGCAATAATGCCTCTTGAGGAAGACGCTCAACCTCTAGTGTACTTGTTTGAACCACCATGTTCCTGGAAGTCTTTACCTGCACGCTATAAAAGTGAAAATCTTTGGTTAACACGCAATTACCACGGGATAGATTGGTCTGCAGGTGACATACCCTATGAAGAAGTGAGACTTTTACTTCAAGATGTTCTGAGAGGAGCTCGCAGAATTTTCGTCAAAGGGCTTGAAAAAAAGAAATGGTTGGAGGTGTTTGTAACCAACGTGTGCAATGTTGAAGAATTGGGCTGCCCTGCCTTGAAGAAACTGCACAGTGCCATTCCCCCACTGTGTCATCACCATTGCCAAACCTGGTACCATAACTGTGCAGTTCGCAACGTTATGGCTCTAAAAGCTTGGTTCTTGAATCCCACTGCAACAACGTCATCGAGTACCCAGTGCATTATAGGTACTCAAGAGGATGATGTTCAAGAATCCTCTTCCTCTGGGCATGATACTGTGGACACCAACCTGACTACGTTAAGAGATTATTACACAAGTTGTGATTCTATGTTTTAGAAAAAAAAATGTAAACTTTTAGATTAAGATTTGTTTAATAATAAACAAAATAAATTTAAAAAAAAATTGTGTTTTAACTTGCTTAGACCTGCATTAATTGTCATTTCACATACGTATTATACAAAGTTCTAGAAGGTTTTAATTAGTAGAGAGGGGGTGGGGATAACTGTCCCTATAAAAACAGAAGACAACAGCGATGTCTTCAGTCTCAAAATTCACAACTGCTACGAAACATTAAAAAAGAACAGTACAAAGTATCATTGAAAATAAAGTGAAAGTAAAAAATAATGACTACTAAAAAACTGGACCTAACTAAAATCAATAAATTGTGCAACATGGAAGGTGTGTTACCTACGAAACCGATGTCTGAGTTGACATTGAAAAAAAAATATATGGTTTCAAGTCTTCGACAAGTTTCCACAAAATACGGTTCCAGAATAGTAGCCGAACTAGATAAACAGTTTAACGTATTCCTTCCTGGCAGAATCGCAAAAGCCTTCGAGGATGATCCTGAAAATACGTTCGAGAACTTGGCAGAATCCGCAAGATCACAAAACCTTTATTTATACTATTTTGGAGGACCATATAATGTTTTCAAATTCAAAACTCAATAAAAATGTACTATAATTGTAAAACATAATTGATAAATATCAATAAAAGAAAATTGTTTATAATGCAAGTTGTTTTATTGACTTACTATTTTGTGATTTATGTATTAAAAATTTTAAAAGAAATTTTTATTAATAGAACGTTAATTTTATTTTAAAAATTTCAATAAGAATCTACAATATTTTAAGTTTTTTTTATTTAAATATCATCGTTGGAATTTTGTAGTCTAAGAATTCGAAAAGTACTTCGTTGGTATCCTGCAGTTTTTTAATATTGAGAAACCTTATTAAATGTGTCGAATCATCGTTGAAAATCCAAAAACCATCGTTGAAAATCCAAAAACCAACGTTGAAAATCCAAAACCATCGTTAAAATCAAAAAACCAACGTTGAAAATCCAAAACCATCGTTAAAAATCCAAAACCATCGTTAAAATCCAAAAACCATCGTTGAAAATCCAAAACCATCGTTAAAAATCCAAAACCATCGTTAAAATCAAAAAACCAACGTTGAAAATCCAAAACATCGTTGTAAATCCAAAACCATCGTTAAAAATCCAAAACCATCGTTAAAATCAAAAAACCAACGTTGAAAATCCAAAACCATCGTTAAAATCAAAAACTAACGTTGAAAATCCAAAAACCATCGTTGTAAATCCAAACATAAATTTATCTTTTTTTAACTATTAAAATGAGAGAAAAAAATTAAAACAAATTAAATCTATTATATTTTTATTTATTTTTTTACACCACCATTTTTTGTGTATGTGTACGTGTGTATAGGTGTTTTTTTTATTTATTTGTAATATCCTCCATCATCTTTCTTTTTTTATTCTTCTCCATTACCACTTTCAGAGGAGTCATTCTTTTTGAACTGTTCTCCTTCCACTCAAAATCATCATCGGTAAAAAAGAGATCCTCCAAAAGACTTTGGAGGGGCTCTTGAGGTATTGCCATTGAACCGGAAGATGATTGTTCAGCTACCGCACTCATCTTCCGGTTCAGTGGAACCGGTGGTGGTGGCATCATCGATGATGATGATGAGTGGTAGGAGGATGATGAAACTGGCGACTTCATCGCAGCTGACGAGCGTGGTAGTGGTGCTGGCGGCTTTCCCGAAGAGGATACGACGCGTGGACGTGGGAGTGGCGGCTTCACCGAGGAGGATACGACGCGTGGACGTGATGTTGGCGGCTTCGTCAAGGAGGATGAACGTAGTGGTGGTGCTGGTGCCTTCACCGAAGAGGATGCATGCGTTGGTGGTGCTGGTGGCTTCGCCGAAGAGGATACAGGTGGTGCTGGTGGCTTCGCCGAAGAAGATGCAGGTGGTGCTGGTGGCTTCGCCAAAGAGGATGCAGATGGTGCTGGTGGCTTCGCCGAAGAGGATGCAGGTAGTGTTGGTGGCTTCCCTGAAGAGGATGCAGGTGGTGCTGATGGCCTCGCTGAAGAGGATGCAGATGTAGGTGGTCCAGGTGGCAACGCCGAGGAGGATGCATACGATGGTGGAGGTGGTACTGGTGGCCTCGCTGCTGGTGATACTGGAGGCGGTGAGACAGTCACCACTGCTGCTGCTGCTACCTCTACTTCCTCCAAGGATGATGAAGAAGAAGAGGAAGACGAAGATGATGATGATGTTTTTTTTGTTGGTGGTGGTGGTGCATCAGCCTTCTTTTCCGGAACCGAATTCTAAAAAAAAAAAAAAATTTCTTAATAAAAAGTTAAATTTTTTTTATTAAATATATATATCTATATTATAATATATATAAAAAAATTTATTTATTTTTAAACACAATATTTTCACGGACATTTCATAATAAATTAAAAAAATTTAACTTTTTATTAAAACAAAAAAATTATTGAATTAATCCCTTAAAAAACACTACACGATATATTTCATAATAATTTTTTTTTTCACTGATGTTTAAATGATAATTAGCATCACGAATGAAAAAGACACATAACACAACACGACCACTGACACTTTACAATTTTTTTTCACTAATACAGTACATCACTACAATAATAAATTCAAGAAATATTAAAAAAGCACACAGACACTAAGAATTTTTTTTTTATCACTGACAGGCTGTACTTCGACGATAGGCACTGACATTTTTTTTTTACTGACAGACTGTACTTCAACGATAAGCACTATATTAAAAAAAACTAAATGCGGATGCTGACGAGAAAGATGAACACTAGACGCAAATGCTGACAATAAAAATAAACACTAAACATTATCAAAAATCACTCAACGCGGATGCCGATGAGAAAGACGAACACTAGACGCGGTTGATAAAACACTGAACGCGAATACCCACGATAAAAATGTACACATAAAGTCGGTTCTACAATAAGCGCGTCGGACATGGACGCAAATGCCCACATAAAAATGTACACTGAGCGCGGATACCGGCGATAGACACTAGACGCAGATTCTCACAAAAGAAACGTACACTAAACGCGGATGCCGACGATGAAGACGTACACTGAACACAGTTAACAAGCATTGATCGCGAATGCCGACGAGAAAACCGATCACTAGACGCAGTTGCCGAAGACGAACACTGAACGCGGTTGACAGGCACTGATCGCGAATGCCGATGAGGAAACCGATCATTTGACGCGGTTGCAGACGACGAACACTGAACGCTGTTGACAGGCACTGATCGCGGATACCGACGACGAACACTAAACGCGGTTGACAATCACTAAACGCGAATAACAAAGACGAAGACGCGGTTCACATCACTGTACTCACCCTTGTTTCCAAAAAAAGCAGCCAGCGGAAAATCAACAAATATTCGCCGATCCTCTCGGCGGAGACAGGAGCAGCAGCAGCGGTGACAGGCGCACCGACACTCCCGGCATAGGCAGCAGTCCTTCCTGAAAAATAAAAATTATTATTATTATTATATATTATGATATTACATTATTATTTTTTTTTCATTACTTTCTTTCACTTTCACTTTTTTTAAATTGTTTTATTCTTTTATTTCTATTTTTTATTATTTTCACTTTCTATTCTTTTATTATATTCTAATTTATTTTTCTACTTTTACTATACTTACTTTTCTGACATCTTTTTTTTCTTCTCTTCTTTTCCTTTTTTTTTGTGAACACTGGACAATAGACAAATGACGCGACTGGACGCAACTAACTGGTGACAATACGTGCGAGCTGCGGCTTTAGTCGAGAAACTACGCTCTCTCAAAGTCGCAGCTCGTATATAAATCTTCGCACATGCGCATCGAAAAATATTCTAGATGCACAACTGGATATTTCCAGATTTCGAAAAACGTTTATTTCTTTTTCAGGTTGTTTTTTTAAAAAAAACTTTAAATATATAATTAAATTTATATTCTGCAAGTAAGAATATAATTGTCTTTTTATTTTTAAGTATTAATTTAGGTAATAAAAATCACATTTGTTTAATAAATTCAATAAATGAATCGAACTTTCGTGTCGAAAGTTCTATAGCTGTCTCTCTCTAAAAATCAATACATCGATACTATTTTTATTCTTTTACGTTTCAAACTTTTCTATTTTAATATTATAACATGTAATTTTTAATTCTTTAATAAAATAAATCCTCTTATCTATAAATATAGAATTTGCTTTTTCTTGAAAGAGTTTTTAATTATTTTTATATGAAAAAAGTATAATATAATTATATTATAATAATAGTGTATGTATATATATATTAAAATACTTTGTGTGACGTATTATAATTAAAAGAAACGCAAAATTATATTATTAATTTTAAACCCATTTTTTAAAATTTTTTCCAATTTCTACTACACTATATATGTAGTGTATAAAGATTTCAAAAACTTTTAATGACATTTTTATAATTTAACAACATCTTTTTTAGATTTTTCAATTACTAGTACACTATACAGTGTAAAAGTAGTGTAAAAACGTTTAGTGACGTTTTTTCAATTTAAACATATTTTTTTATGTTTTTTCAATTTCCAGTACACTATTCAGTGTATAAGGACTACAAAAACGTTTAGTGACGTTTTTTATATTTTAAAAACATTTTTTTAATTTTTTCAATTTGTAGTACACTATTTAATGTAAAAGGAGTGTAAAAACGTTTAGTGACGTTTTTTACAATTTAACATATATTTTTTTATGCTTTTTCAATTTCCAGTACACTATTCAGTGTATAAGAAATACAGAAACGTTTACTGACGTTTTTTTAATTTTAAACATATTTATTTATGTTTTTTCAATTTCCAAGACACTATTCAGTGTATAAGGAGTACAAAAACGTTTAATGACGTTTTTTTACTTTAAAAACGTTTATTAATGTTTTTTTTATTGCAGTACACTATAAAGTGTATAAGGAGTACAAAAACGTTAAATGACGTTTTTTTACTTTAAAAACTTACTTACTTGATGTTTTTTTATTGCAGTACACTATATAGTGTATAAGGAATTGAAATTCGGTGAGTGACTTTTCAAAAAAATTCATTTCTGTCGGTAAAACAGACTCAATCTAATTTAAATTACTAAAAAAAGTACCCACACAATTATAGCAATTCATTTATTCCTAATCTGCATTACCGATCGATGGTAAAAAGTCACTATAGAATTCTGCCATGCCGGCCGCTGACAACTTATCGACCGAGGCTCAAACCCTCCGTCGGCAATGCAGCAATCTGCATTATCGACTGACGGTAAGTGGCGTAGAACATACCTTGTTATACTACTAATCAAATATTCGATTATTTGTCATAAGTAATTGTTTTAATTGAAACTAAAACCTCTTTAATTGCGGCAATTATTATTTTATTTGATCCAAATACATAATTTATTTACATAAAATGTAAGAATTTTTTGATTCAAATAAATCAAAATTTGAATTGAATAAATAACATATTTATTTACTAATTCTTCCATTTCTGAATTAAAATCTTACTCAAATAAATAAATTAAAAAATATGTAATTGCTGCAAACTATGATCGCATATTTTCATTTTTCAACTAATTCATACATAGAAATAATTATTAAACGCAAACCTGAGAAATAAATAAATCTAACGCATGGGGGGAATCGAACCTACGACCTACGGATTATGAGTCTAACGCTTTACCAACTACGCTACGCAGGCTACGTGCAAACGAATGTTAACTTCTTGATGCCATTTAAATTTGCAAAAGATCTAACTCAGAAAAGTGCTTAACATCATTTAGTTCAAATTAAGATATTAAATTATATTTTCCAATTAAATGCAATTTATAAAATATAATTAATTATATGCTTCATGATTATTATCGCATGAATCATCCCAGGTGAATTTTCAAAAAAGGGTAAATATATTTTTATTAAAAACGCATTTTTCGTTGTTCTGAATCATTGTAAACATTAATTTTTTGTTGATGAAAAAATATTTGACTTTGGACTAAGAATATTAAATAATATATATAAATAAATGAATAGTATCAAATAAGTCATTATTATCATTACACTTAAATATTTAATTGATCAAAATATTTTATTTTCCTTCAATAAAATAGTGTATTAACATTAAATAACACATTATTTATATTAAATAATTTAATTAATTAGAATTAATAAAGTTATTGTATAAAATACTTTTTATTTGTATGAAAAAAATGAAATATTTGAGTGAAATAAATTAATTAATAGTTGCAAGTAACTCATTATTTTCGTTTCAAATAAACATTTAATTGATTGAAATATTTTTTATTTGTCTTGATAAAATAGTGTATTAGGATTAAATAACGAATTATTTGTATTAAATAATTCAGTTTATTTGAATCAATTACATTAATTTATTGTGTCAAATACTTTTTATTTGTATCAAATAAACGAAATATTTGAGTGAAATAAATTAATGAATAGTTTCAAGTAACTCATTATTTGTATTAAATAAATCCATTTATTCAATTCAATTAATTATTTAATTGAACCAAATACGATGTATTTGGTTCAAATAAGTGCGATTCAAATAATTTAAGTTATTTGAAACAAATACATATTTTTTTGATTCAAATAAAAAGTATTTGAACTAATTAAATATTTTTCAAATAATTTGAAGTATTTGAATCAAATAAATTTTTTTTCAGTGCAGTGTATCGTTAACTGATATTCTAGTAGAGGTTTTAGCGGATGTATAAAATACGATGCCGAGTTTAGTAAATGCAGGGATACTTTCAGTCAAATGACCAACCTCAATATATTCTTTTATGAATTCGATATATTTCTGTTTAGTGGATTCGTTTTTTGCTAAATTTCGCTCGAATTAATAAAATCTTTTGAACGCCATTGAGTTTGATTTCCTTTATCGACATTTATTTCCCCAGAATTTACTAATCTGATTGTCTAATGTATTACAGGAAACATTGAAAATTTATACCTCCGGGATTTTTCTAAAAGAAATTGGACCAGCGAATAACTTTTCTATTACCTATGTATAAGGGTGATTCTCCACGTAGCGCCCAATTTAGTTTTTGCTATTATTAAAAATTTTTTTGCAATAATTAAATTAAAATAGCAACAATTATTATAAACAAATGAAAATAAAATAAATTTCTTCGCCTAATTTCGTTTTTTTGGCAATTATGATTCCCTACCCAGTAAAAAAAAAGAATTGGGAGTAAGCGATAAGAATTGGTGGTAACTTAAGCTGAATTCGGTTTGGCGAAAAAACCGAATTGGAACGTTACGGTGAATTATTTTTTTCTTACCGTGAGTTCTTTTTTCTTAAACATTTGAATTGACGTTTGTTTATTCGAGTTTGCATTATAAATGAATAAAATAAATGCTTCGAAGTCTAAAAAAGCCGATTTGGAATAAGAAATATATAATTTAAAAAAAATAAATGAAAGCGAAGTGTGACAGATTCACCGACGATTTTATCAAGTGAGTAGTGTTCATATGACAAATTTACCATATGAGTAGTACTCACATGGTAAAATTGTAGGTAAATCTATCACATTTCACTTTTATTTCTTTTTAAAAAATTATATACTTCTTATTCCAAATCGGCCTTTTTAGACTTCGAAACATTTATTCTTATTCATTTATAATGCAAACTCGAATTCAAATGTTTAAGAGAAAAGAATTCACGGTAAGAAAAAAATAATTCACCGTAACGTTCCAATTCGGGTTTTTCGCCAAACCGCATTCAGCTTAAGTTACCACCAATTCTTTTCGCTTACTCCTAATTCTTTTTTTTTTACTGGGTATTTAATCACGAGTATTTCAAAAAAGTCAGTATATTGCATTAGGTCAAAAGTTATTAATATATTTGTGATTAGGTGGTTTTCAATTACTAAAAGTTAAAAAAACAAGCTATTTGTATTTAATCTACTAAATTGTTTATAACAATTATGAGCTGTTTTTAACCACTTCACTGGCAAGTCGTTCCAATTGGCGTGCCAGGCTCAGAATGGTGAAAACACCAAATTGGCTTTCAGTACTATACTTGCCTTCAGAAATTACAATTAAACGGATGCATACGGATTTTATCAAGAAATACCCAAATTATTTATCATGTTCGTAAGAAATGTACCGCAGCGAAGTTAAAAGTATGAATATTTCTTTTATTAAATTAGGAGACGAAGAATGTGAGCAATGTGAAATATTTGAAATGGATCATCCACAGCATAATAAAAATGATATAAGAGTTTCAGGTTGTCTTGCATGAATAAAATCTTTAGTTTGAGTTATCGTGTCAATTAAAATATCATCAAATTCATTACTCGCGCTATATTCTTCTTCTAAGCTATTATCATCTGCTAATGCTTCTACTTTTGTTTGTACAGAATCAAAGCTTTTTTAATATTTCTTTAATTTGTTCAAATTTTGTTACTAATGTTGGTATATTTACTCTTTAATGAACCGCGTTGTC